TTCGAAAGTTTATCAGTTTTATTGGAATTTCCACGGATGTTCCGGCGACTTGGCCTCTGTGAGAGGAGGGAGATACGACGAGAGAGGGACATAAAAGCGAGGAAGGGGGAATAGGATAAAGTGGTCGAGGATCAGAGGCTGGTGGGGCGAGCGGTGGTATTCGGCCGTTGCATTGTGGGGGTGTTGGCCTTCAACTTGACGGCGCAGTTTCACTGACCTGCCTGAGAAACTCGTGATATCCGCGCGACTCGTGCCCCACGAACCAACCTACAAGACACACCGATGTCCTGGGACCAACCAAAGGGTACCGCTACTTAAAGGATCCACCGGTCCTAAATAAACTTAACGCGCTACAAGTGACCTGATCCTCCTACCTGACCCGACATTGTTTCACATTCGTAGCTTGTCATCGGCGCTGTACGACACACAAATTCGTTTTCCCTCCTTTGGAATGCTCGTTCTCTGACTTACACGCTCGTAACCTTTCTGGAACAGAATGATTATGTGTCTTATCGATGATCAGGGGATCGAGTCAACTTAATCGACTCGAAGTAGGAGTTTTCACGGAAGTTCATTTTAGACTAGAGGAGCTAGTATCTTTATCCTATTTCCAAATGATACTTATAAAAATTCATAATCTTTTCGAGTCTATCGAAGGGGTTAATTCAGATGTAGGTAGTTCTAATTCAAGAGTATGTTATATCGAACCTCGAATGGAATTGGCGAGTGTCCGTCGATGTTCGTGGTCGGACCGCGCTAAATCAGCGAAACGAGAGGTAAACGAACGGTTCCGATTCTCTGCGGTCCTTTTCGGGTCGACTTGGTCGATACCGCCCACGGTCGTCGGCGAGTCGCCGAGGAAACGACGAGTGCCTCTCGGCCAAGGCATTTGGTGGCTGTAATTAAAGCAAAAGACGAGAGCAGATGGCCCCCGAGTTCCTGTCCCTCTTGGACCATTTTTTTTTTTGTTATCCCTCTGCCCAATTTCTAAGAAGTACAGTAGGCTGCAGGATTTCAACATTTCCTCGAGAACGTTCGTTTCAGAGAAACGCACCATCCATCTTTGGGTCGTGTAACTAATCGACGCCGAAAGGCGCATGAAACCGCGGACAATCACAATGGAGAATCCTGCAAGTTTCGATATCAATCAAGTTGAGCGTAATTGATGTACGATAGCGGTTCCAGGAATTATCGTCGTTTCAGTGTAACAAGCTTGGCAACAACTCTCTCGGTGTAGATATTGCAAATCTGTCGATAACGCAGGCCCGACTATCCTGTGTTCCCGTGTGCATGTGCAGCGCACTATGACCGCTAGTTTCCGAAGCGCGTGTATAATGCAGCTGCCGGCTATAGAGGCGTGTAACTATTGATCCTGCGGCCTTTGGGGAGAACTGCTGCTGCTGCCGCTGCCGCTGCTGCAGATTTTAGCAACGTCATTCGAGAGAGAGTGACGTATCGTGGGAATAGAAGGTCCAAGCTCCTCTCCCGAGAGGGCTTTGCACGGCATTGTACTCGGCTGGAGAACAGACCACGTGCTTCACGTGCATCGGCTACGTGAATGGCACCTCGAATGAATAAGAAAGATATCAACGGAATAATGAACCCGGTTTTGCAACTCGTCGCGAAACGACATGTCGATCGAATTTTCTAGAACACGAAGATGATCCCTCGAACGACCAAATATTGTCAGAAGTTTGATTTCAACCTGCTGTTCGATTTCCAGCGTAATTCAAAGATCCTGCCGAAACTAATACTCCCTTTCGCGATTTTACGGTGCGTGCAAGAAGAAGAAGAAGAAGAAAAAGAAGAATTCAAGGAGGAGGAGGAGGAGGAAAGGACGAAGGATCGGGTCGAGTTCCTCGGTCCCGGTCGATCCTCTCGTCCCTTCTGGTCCCTTCGATAGAAGCAGACAAAGGCAAAGGCGCCTTACGTTCTCTCCGATGCAGTTCTCTTTCTCTTCCTTTCACTCTCTCTTCTCTTCTCTTCGTCTCACCTCACCTTGGCCGCGGCCCTTCAACTGTCTGCGACCCACGCCCCACCTTCTCTTCCTCCATCCGAACTACCACCACCATGGTCGCGTTAGCCACCTTCTTCGACCACGAGCAGCAACCTTCTGCTTCTTCTTCGTCGTCGTCGTCGTCGTCGTCGTCGTCGTCGTCCTCCTACCTCGTCGTCGTTGTCTTCTTCTTCTTCACCGACGCCATCGTCTTCCTCCACCTTCTTCTTCTTTCTACTCATTCCTTCGCAAGAGATACGTGTATTCGTAAGAATTGCTGCTATCGGTGTGTCTATACCGATCCTCGTCCACCTGCCTTCCCAGAGTTATTTAGCCAACCGAACCGCTCCGATTTGCCCTAGGCGAATTTCCGGAACGACGGAGAACCTTGGGTAAACGGAAACTTCGACTGACGCGACGAAAAGGGAACACGCTAGATCGCGGTCACGGCTATTTGAAATACTAGCAAGAAGGTCAATTATTTAGGGGTTAATTAAGGAAAGTTCTCGTTCTTTGACGGGATGGTATCAGCGTGGACCACATCTCAGACTTTTCGTTAGATTCGTGCGTCATTTGAATGACGTTGATCTTCCAAGAAACTTCCGAGAAAGTTTCGCTGAAAAGTTTTCCTACTGGGAAACTGGAGGATACTTGAGAATTTTCAAGAATAATTAATAAATTCATCATTTTTAAATTTGATTGTGAAAAAAAGAGAAACACTTGTTTTTCTCTCGCTTCACTTAGAACACATCGAAAGGTTTGCGGTTTCACAGTGATTGAATTTATATCAAGATGCCATCGTAAAGACCGTTTTCCGCGGAATGGTCGATACGAGATACTTCTCGCAGGCTAAATCTGCCCCGTCATTTTTATTCTCCTCGATTTCTACGTCTTTCTTTCATCTACCACGTTTAGCCTCGAGCATCCTCGAGCCTCGGTATCCTTGGGCAAATTTATGCTTCTTCAGATTACGGATAATAATGGTTACCCTTGTGCCTTGGCGTGCTCGTCTTAACAATTTGCCAGCTAGAATTACGACCGACTCTTTTACCCCGCAGCGTTTTATCGCTACGATACGCGTCTAGCCGGTGCACGTAGTCATTGACACGCGGGTATCGCTCGATTTTTCGCTTCGACGGAAGAAAATTCCGTCGCGCAAAATTGCACCCGTCCCTTTCGCATTTTTTTCGACAACGGCCACGAATGATACCACGTTGCTCAACGCGGTAACCTTGCACGATTCTGTAACATGGCGAAGGATCCTGTGGCTTTGGCACACACGCCTGAGCGTGCAACGAAGTGTGCTGTTGGCAGAGCAACGTTGAATCCTTGGACGAGAATTTACGCGGTTGAAGAAAGTAGAGCGAGCTCCTTCATTTGATATTCCGTGTTGATCATCGAGAACAAATATATCGCGAGAAACCACGATGCTACTGTTTACATTGATTTTTAACGTATCGTCCGTTGAATCTTCTATCGAGGAAAGATCGAAAGGGTGGTGGTATGGTATGTAACCATTGAATGAATGTAATCGTCGAAGGTAAACCGGCTGGAATGAAGAAACGAGACGGGAAAAGGTTGGACACAATGGGTTCCGAAAATAAATCGTGATCGATGAAACTGAAACAGGATTTACCCTAGCGATTCGAGGACACGCGTCCACGCGTTTTGTCGTTGCATAGATATTTATCGTTGCATTTTTAGACAGCAATTCTACCGAGACAGGAAACATGCACGAAGGGTGTAACCGGGACTTTGTTATTTCATTAAAACGTTTAATCCTCGTGGGTTTTGCGACGCAAAACAGTGTCAGCTACCCGTCGAGCAACGCCCGAAAATTCCTTGAAATCATTGAAAACTCCTCGGAAAGATGAGGCGCGTTATAGCCGCAATTACGCTCGCGCCCCCGAGACGACCTCGCGCGGTGCAACGCGTGTGACGCGCGTGTCCCTTTCCTCTGCTTGTGGCGTAAACGCCTGGAATCGCAGACCGCATCGTGTGTGCAGTTAAGGCCGTATCGATGTCAAGATTGTGCCGCAGCGGTTGTCCCTGAAGAGCCATGGACGCCCGTGACATTGCCGCGTCGCGCAAGGATTTTCTTCTCTTCTGACCAAGGGAATCGTTTAAAAGTAAAGCTAGCGTGCGTTGTGCACACTTATCAAACGCTATTTATGCCCGTTTGCATTGCTAAAGCATTCTTAATTTGTAATTTATACGCTAACTAGGAAAGCTTGCCGATTGATCATTCGCTTTCGCGCGTAACCCATCTTGTTCGGTTCGCGGCTGGATGAGATTCTTTCGCGTTTCTCCGGCAGGGTTTAAGTGAATTTTTTTAAAGCGCCGGATGATTTACGATCGCGTTGCTCGGCCCGTACAGTCGCAATTAAAAAAGACGCTAATGAACGTAGAATCGTGACTCGGAGCGAAGAGAAACGGAAAGGCAATGGTATGCGATCCGGAGAAGCGCGTGTGTCGCGTTCCCTGGCTCGGTTTGTGCACCGAAGGAGAGAGTGAACTGAATGAAAGGGAGCTTGGAGAAAGAGAGAAAGGGTGAGGAGGATGAAACCGCGAAGGATAGTGGAGAGAAGGAGAAAGGTGAACGACAAGAAGTAGCTAGAGCGAGAGGGAGACAGGTGAGAAGACTGTGAGAGAAAGAAGGAAAGAGAGAGGAGTGGTTCACCTGCATTGCTAGCATTGCGCCGGCTCAAGGCCAGAGAGTCTGCGAGACCGAGGACCAGACCGGGTCGGGACCTCCTTCCTTCCAGTTTCCTGCACCCTACTCCTTCTTCTATCGTTCTTCCTCCTTCGCGGTATCCCATCGCCTGAAGCCTTCTCCTTTTTCGTACCGTACACATTTCTACGTACGCTGATCGTTCGTTGCGCCACGACGTACCTTTTATAGGACTCGTTAAACCGATATATCTCGTCGATTTTTGTATATACACCTGACTCTAACAGAAAATTCTTTCTCTAACCTATGCTTCTTTCTTTTTTCTGTTTTCAGGTTGTAAAATCAAAGCGCTCCGAGCAAAGACCAACACTTACATCAAGACCCCGGTGCGGGGCGAGGAGCCGGTGTTCGTGGTAACAGGCCGCAAAGAGGACGTGGCCCGCGCGAAACGGGAGATCCTCTCGGCCGCTGAGCATTTCTCTCAGATCCGGGCGTCACGCAAGAGTTCACTGGGCGCGCTTCTGGGCGCGCCTCCTGGACCGCCGGCTTCGGTTCCAGGCCACGTGACGATTCAGGTACGAGTGCCGTACAGAGTTGTCGGATTGGTCGTAGGGCCGAAAGGCGCGACCATCAAGAGAATCCAACATCAGACGCACACCTACATAGTGACACCGAGTCGCGACAAGGAGCCGGTGTTCGAGGTGACGGGATTACCAGAGAGCGTGGAGGCAGCTAGACGCGAAATAGAGGCGCACATAGCCCTGAGAACCGGCACAGGACCAAGTCTCGACGATTCGGAACTGCTCAGTGTACTTTGTCGCGGAGGGTTGGGCTCGATCTTGGGCTGCCTCGATCCACCAGGCTCGAACGGTTCGAACGGATCGAACGGCGCGTTCTCCAGCAGCGGCAGTTGCAGCAGCTCGTCAAGTAGTTCCGGCGCACCTGGACTTAACGATATCGTGGCGATTTGGGGCGCCGGTGTGGAAAGAGACGAGAGCCTAGGCGAGTCACCGTCATTCGAGTCGGCATCCTCGATCTGGTCGTTCCCCGGGGTCGCGTTACCCTCGAGGTCATCCCCACCGGCCTCGATCCCGACATCGCCGACGGACTCGCTGTTGGGACGACGGGAATGCGTGGTGTGCGGCGACAAGGAGGTCACAGCGGCCCTCGTACCATGCGGACACAATCACTTCTGTCTGGACTGCAGCAACCGGGTCTGCGAGAGTTCCGACCCTAGCTGCCCTGTCTGTTCGAGGCCCGTATTACAGGCGCTTCGTATCTTCTCTTAAGCATCCCCCCCTCGAGAGAAGGAGAGAGCCAACAGATCTCTAGGCTCCTTTTGCGTCGCGGCACCTGGTACAGCGGCTATACCGATTTTCACCGATTGATCTGCACTTCGATTTTTGCCGGCTCATCCAGGAACGACGGCGCTTGAGAACGCCCATCCTCGAATTTTTTCCGTACAGCTCGCCTACCCCGTACGGTTCAGTCCGCGGCTACGCGTTCATTCCGCGGCTACCACGGGGCAGCGGACGCGCACAATGTCTCAATTCCACTGCTGCCAATAACCTCTTCTATACGCGCCGGGAATTACCCGATAATACTTGTCGCGTCGTTCCCGCCGACCGGATACAACGAAGTCAGCTTTTAAGTTCTACGAGATATATATGGAACGAGAGAGAGAGAGAAAGAGAGAGAGAAAGGGAAAGAGAGAGAAAGAAAAGAAGCATATTCGCTCATTCATTGTCATCGTTTTCATACTGATAATAAAATCGAGCTCGCAGGTTCACGATCATCACGGGAGGACTTTGCAGAAATCACCGCGTGACGAAGAGCGATCGATACTCTGTTTGACATCGAATCGACGACCGTGTCGTGACAGAAGGATTACTTTTTGGCTTTGCCGCTTTACGGGCTTGCCTTCGAACTATTGGAAAAAAAAAAAAAAATGTTTGACGCCCACTGATCGATGCACACGTTAGTAGCGAGACTGTCGATCACCGAGACGCTACTCGCTCACAGAAACGAATTAGGCTGAGCTAGCTGTTTCGTATTGATTGCAATAACATTCCATTCACTGATTGTATTCACGGTATTTTCGTATTTTTATACAAATTCTTTTGAATCGAAGGCAGTCTAGAAAATGGAATGGTCGAATTTAATCATTATCGAATTCAAATCGATAAAATTGTTCTTTCTTTATACAATTGACAATCCAAACGAGTCGACGCTCTCACGATATGCGTTCAGTAAGGAGATGCTCATCATTTTTAGATATTTTTACATTTTCTCCTTCTTTCACCATCGTGTTTTACGTTGATGAGATCGAACTTGTAATTTTTATTATGCAATCCTTTATGAGACACTGAATCAAAGGTGCTTGCAGACACTGACGAGTAACATTTCTACGAGTTGTATATTTTTATTTGAGAAAACGTTTTACCGTTTCATTCATCGTTCCGAATGTTTAATGAAGACTACAAGCTTCGGTACTCCTGATGAAGAAGATACTTTTAGCGTGGTAAAAAGATGAAGTTCAAACAGGGTTCGTTTGCTCTATCGATCATTATATTCTCTCCTATAGAGACGAAAAGATTTAAGAAACAATACGCAAGTAAAACATGAATCTCAATAAGTATACCTGAAAATCACGTAAACGAAGAAACAATTTAACGGAGAACAGCATGGAACACGAATGTCGTGCATTGTCGATAAATAAGCTTCCAAAGTTTCTCCGCCAAGAGTTTTTAGAGTCTACCGAGCAATTCGTTCTGCCCGTCGTTTTTTGACCAACTAACATAGGGAGTCAAACGTAGTCAGAATGCCTATTTTTCTTCTTCACCCTTTTTAACGCAAAAACAAGCGAAAACTTTCCGCGGAAGCGATTCTGTCGGCCGATGCACCGACCTTTAACGAACCCTACGAGATCTGCGAGCTCGTCACACACAACCGCAGCGAATGATTACCGAAAAATTGCCCACACTTGACGCATTAAACACACACGAACACATACGCTACAGGCAGACAGTCAATCTTATTCATACAGGCACACGTTGCACGACAGAAGAGAGATTAAAAAAGAAAAAGGAAGAAATTATGGGTGAGTGGTCACGTGTCCCTCGATCTGCTGGGAAACTACTTAGATGATAGTATTATAAAAAAAAAGAAAAGAAATGAAAAAACGGCGTGCCCGTTCCACCCAGCCTCCCTCGCTACTAGAGTATTATCTTATCTTTATATAAGCGACATAGCAATTGAAATAATAATAATATTAATAATATATATTATATATATAAATATAAACATAAATAAATATGGTGGTCAGGAGGAGTCTGACGACAGTAAGAAGGATGATATTTTATCGAGGAGATTTAGATTTTGTATTTTTCGCGCGTTTCGTCGACGGGACGACGGGTGGTTGGGGACAGCTGCACACGCCGTAGACAAAGAGGAAAATTATTATAAGAGTTATATTAAAAGAAGATAGGAAAAAAAGCATACAAAAAGAAACAGAAAAAAAAAGAAGGAAAAGCGAAAACGGCGCTTGAAGGGAAACAAAACTAATGTTTTTAAAGACGGCGTATCGCAGGAACTCGTGAACCGGCTCTCCCTGGGAAAAGCTGAAAAAAAAAACGAGAACAAGGGAAAGAGAAAAGCTGTCGGTCGATCCCCACGTGGTTTGCGGCCGACTTCTTCCCCCCCTGTAAGTGTATTCTTTTGAGCTCTAGTAATAATAATAATCGAGTAATATAACTCGTTCTTTCAATGAAGAACTAAACCGATGTATCTTTCACGTAGGGATCGACGACCCGTGTATTTAAGCTTTTCTTTGAAAAGTCGACATTAACATTATATTATATTATATTATATTGCATTATTGTATCGCATAGATGTATTATCGGATGCTATATAACGGTGTCACTCTACCGCGCCCTCTCGTTAGGATAACGTGTCAGGTGAGGAAGGACGACCACGCTTTATTTCCTTCTTTCCATGGTGTCTCGTTCCTCGTCCTTCCCCGGTGACATCCTCGTGGACGAGTCTCATGATTTTCATATACGGCAAAACGAGAAAAATTTCATGAACCTCTGTGCCACGAGCGTGGGCCCAAAAACTGCGATATTCGTTTTGCGGTACGCACGAGAGGGTGGTCGGTACGTGTCTCTATGTTCTTCTGTGTTCCATTTACATTTTTCCTTTTATTTTTTTCTTTTTACGCTGAACGTTATCGTTATCGTTCGCTCGAACGCGTTTCAAAAAAAAAAGAAAAAGAAAAGAAAAGAAAGCTGGTCGAAAGAGATTCTTTCCTTTTTCTTCTTTGCGTTAGATCTTAACGAAAATCGAAGGACGAAATTACTTATTAGTAAAGGTTAGACAGAGGGCCAAAAGATATAGGAACGATGCACTTGTGTGCACCAATTATACTATTGTTTCGTATTTATGCTGACTTCAATTTCGAGTTCGATTTCCTTTCATCGTCTTCGTCGTTCTCTATTTTTCTGCGATCTCTTTTCCTTCGTCTTTGTTTCGTTTCTTAGAATCGTCGAAACTTCTTGTCAATCGTTGCCATTTTAAAACGAAAATATGCTCAAGTCGCAGCTCCGAACAAGTCGAGGTATATTATTAATACGTATTACATATATATAAAAACAAATATATATATATTATATATTATATACGTCATCATCCAGTGTTGACGGATGGTCGGATAGAAAGAAGATATTTTTTCGGTCGTTCGAGCCGCAGCTCTGTATAGCGGGTGTTTCGGTAGTTTATCAGCCAAAACTCAACCCCTTCGTTCTTTATTTTTTAATTTTATATTTTCTAATGTTTTAACATCGAATCGTTTTATTGTGTTTTCGTTCGCTGTGTGTTTCGTTTCCGTCGTTCCAGCCCGGTACCAGCCCTTTTCTCCCCCACGTCGTTCTCTTCGTTCGAGAAACAAAAATCTTCCTGCTTGTTAAAAGTGTTTCCATTGCGAGATAATAGTTAATCAGCACCACACACGCATACACACACTTAAAGATACACAGTAGAAACAGTCTGACACATATACGTTCATTTAAACGCATTTTTTCTGCATAGTGTATATTAATATACCTACACATATATATATAGCTGATTATTTGTTGCTACAGACATGCATACACGTACATTCTCGTAAACATCAGAAACGAGGAAAAGACATTCGCGAACGCAATTCATCGTGCACATCCGGTACGATACACGTAAACATACGCGCACACGCACGGACAGAAACACGAATAAAATTATATATATATATTATAATCAATGATAGAGAGAAAGAGTGATCGAGTGTGAGAGTAAAGTTTATTATATTTAAGTTCGAGGCAAAGTAAATTCTATATTTTTTCTATGTTAAGTATAAATTGGAGAGAGAGAGAGGAGAGAGAGAGATAAAGATGCGTAAAAGGTACGGTGATGAATATAAACATATATTATATTATTATATTATATATATATTATTATATTAATATATTATATTATATTCTATATATATACATATAAACTATATATTTATAGGTACTCTCTATAGCATCTATGTTCCGACATACGGGGACGCCGTCGCACACAGTGTAATAAAAGTACGGTCGGCGTGTTTGTACGTGTACGTGTAGAGCATCCCAGATAATCTGTCATTAACTTCGTTGCGTAAGTGTGATTTTATGATTCTAATTAACCGAGATCAGGGAAGGGTAGTGAAAGAGATAAACGAAAGAAAGAAAAAAGAGCAGGGGCTCGAGTTGTCACTCTTCTTGCGTTTTTTCTCGCTTCTTCCTTTGAAACGGGATCTTAAAAGACATTGCAGACTTACGATGAAAGAGGAAATAGACTCGATTTAACGATCGCTCGGGCACGAGAAGGGCTCGAAAAAATGTAATTTGTATCCGCACGGATGGCGAAACCGTTTCGAGGGAGGAAAATGGGAGATCGTAGGTTTCCCGCGGGACGTATAACGACAGAGGACGAAGGGAGGGAAGAAGTAGAGAGGGCGGTTGCCAGAACTTGAATCGAATCTCGTCGTGCTCGCGAATCGAAATTAATCCTTGTCAAAATGAAACGCCAGAAGGGGTGTGCACGGAGAACTAGACTGCCGGGCGCGTTCGTGCCGGAACTCGAGTCACCGGAAACGTCTTACGGAAATCATCGACGATCCATGTGTCTTCCTCTCCGCGCGATTCCGGAATAGGACACCCAGTGTCCCGGGTTCCGTAGCGCGACACTGGTGGCGCAATTACAGTAAAACGAGCACAGTTTGTCGAGAATCTCCGCTAGACTTTGGGACAATTCCAGGCTAGATAACGCAACCTTCACTTTGGCCGAGGTTCCGACATATCGCGGCAAGAAGTCGGTCTCCCGTTCCTCGACGATCGTCATCTTTCGTCGTTACGTAGCCAGTGCACTTAGCTCCTGTGCATTATGCACGTACGTACGTATGCGCGCGTTCCCGTTTTCCCGGCCCACTTATTCCCACCGATAACGTCGTCGCGATCTCTGCTGTCCCCGTTTTCGATCGTCTATACTTGCGTCGCGACGTAGACGCGCGGAAACGCGTCCACCGCCGCTTCGAATCTCCTCGCTAACACCGACGTCAGGTCCAGAAATTAGAGGAAAATAGTCGTTAGAATTCTGATTTGTTTTTTCTCCTGACATTCTCGCGGCTAATAACCGGAATGAGAACGGGATTTACAGTGCCATACGTGAATCAAAAGGTCTACGTTTACGTATCTTACGTTTACTCGAAACGTTTGATTTTCCGTTTTCGTTAGGAAATGATATTTTTAAAGACTCACCTATAGCACGCGTGAATAAATCCACGAAGAGACTTGCTCGATTTCCGTATCGATAGGCGAGGCGCGAATTTGCCGGAGTTGTCTGACCGTCAAGTTCCTTTTTCACTTAAACCGTTGGACCGTTCTCAGTGGTATCAGTCAACGATGTGTCGGACGGATCATAGTAAGCTCGCCGCGTGATCCTTTTCCCCATTTGTCTTTCCATTTGATATGTTCTGTTTTCAGTTTTTAAGTTGTTTATGCGCTTTCGAAAGAATTATTATAAGTAAATTATGTAAATGATATATAGATATATATATACACATACATACATATATATATATATATTTTTATAAATATCCAAAATATAGTAACGTATTATTGTATTGTTATTTAATCTATTTTTCGTTATTTTATACAAACGTATTAAAGTCTTATTTTTTTATCGAGATTAAAGAAAATGGTGAAGTGTATTAAAAGGGTATTGTGAAATCAATTATTGTTTTTTATTAATGCTTTCTCGCAACGAAGCCTGACTCGACACGATTTTTCACCTTGTTTTCTTTGCGCTCATTTATTTCTTTTTTAAGCGTGTCGCGAGTTTGCGAGTAAACGTCGACGGCCTCGCAATAACCGGAGAATAAAATAAAATAAAAATATTACAAACTAGAACGATGTTAAGAAGGCTGCGAACGCGGGACGCGTAGCGAACGTTTCGGTTTCGCAATTTTCTCGCGAGCGTTTGCGTCTGATATTTTACGACCGTCCTGCAATCAACCCTTCGTGGAAGGGTCTTTCAAATCAGATCGATAAACGCGAGCAGTCCGACACATTTTGCCGGCAGAGGAGCCGAAATTGGACGCGTTTACCAGTCGGAAAGCTCGTCGAGTTCGCGATTATTCCCTACGGTCGAGGTTGTTTCGCGAATCGATACGGAAATCGAGGCTGATGGTCTCTTCCTTCGAATGCAACGAAAAAATAGACACATCGTTAACCCTCGTGGCGACTTGGCCGTGGTGAACGAAACTATTAAAGCATATGCGGTGTATCTTTGTAGCACGTTCTCTCTAGGAGGCATTTATCATGTTTTAACGTAACGAGTAATGCGTCTAAGGTTAACTTAATCGTAATCGTATTGAAGCGTAACATTTAATGATTACTGTAGCCATTGGCTGTGACCGATAACTGCCATTTTCATAAAAAAAAAAGAAAAAAAAAACAAAGACGAGAAGCGAGAACGCGTCGCGTTTCGCGACGATTTCACGACACGTAAAGAGAATACGAGTAGACCGTATGGCGGGACACTTTTACACCATGCACCAAACACACTCACACACGTACACGCGTACACGTATAGGACACGCGTATATACAGTTAGCCACGATTGAGTCGCCGTGAGGTGACAGAACGACGAAGACTATTTCAGAAACGAATTCGATAGGGAGAATCATTCGACCATGATGGAAACGAGACGAGAGTTAGAAGACGATATCGAGGGAAAAGGCGTCGCGAACATTTTCAGGCGTTCGGGGGGGAGGAAGGAACAGTAAAGTTTTGACACTAGGGTGAAACGATGTGCGATTACAGAGCAACTGCAAGGACACGTACACCCATACGACGATACATATCTCAAAGAATAATAACTAAACGTAAGGGAGATTATTAGGAGTTAGTAGATGACAGAGTAAGAAATAAGTGGAATCTAGCGAATGGAGATTAAAATGAAAAAAAAAAAACAAAAAAAAAATGAATAAAACAGATGATAATTATAGGTATATCGAAACGTATATACATATACATATATATAGATGAATATATATTATATATAGAAATATATATTATAGAGAAAAAAGAGAAAGAGAGAGAAAGAGAAAAATAGATGATCGTTGTTGCTTAATTTTTTGTCTCTATTTACTATATTATTGTATTCTATTAAATAGCTCTATATTTGATTATTATTAATTATATTATTATCAATATTATTACTAGAATTATTATTGGCTCTATATATATAATATATATACATATATATTTCAAGTATATATCTATGCTTGCGTGTAACAACGGTTCGTTGGATCTCGGTTCATTGCACTCGAAACAGATTCTACGAGCGGTTTTTTGTTTGTCGTTCGTTTGAAACGCTGTTTTAAATTGTTTTACGCTTGAGGATCGATCGGTCGATCAGTCGCAACAGCAGATCGAGGTTCGTTTGTTCGATGGGATCGATGGACTACGCGTACGTCCATTATCTTCAGACGTACCGGGTCTAATTCATCCTCTTCATCTTCTTTTCCTTTTTCTTGTTTTCTTCTCTCTGCGCAAACTGTCGATCGACGATAGATAGTGATTGGATACGAGTGAGATCGTTCGTTCGTGTATCTCTAATATATTATACAGAATTGTACATTAAAGAAAAAAAGATATTATATTCGGTAGGAAGGGGCGTTCGAGTGTTCGAGGGCAGAACGGTCGCGCGGTTCATTGTATTATTCTATATCGGTCGAATTAAATCGCGCGATCGTGCAAACTCTCGAACGTAAAATTACTTATTCTTGAGACTACTTATTCGTCTACTTAATTATTATAGAGACCGAGAAAACGTAGCGTGCGGCCGCGTTTATATTTCGGGGTTGGAGAGGAACGCACGCGTGTCAGCGTCGATTCGTCGCGGCGGATGTTGTTCCATCTTGTTTTCAACAGTACGTAACAAATTTTAATTCGTGTTTGCGTAGGTTTGAGTCGGTTAAATTGATTTGATATTTAAAGATATAACAAATGTATCAACGAATAGCATTGAATGTACGCAAACAACATGGAAATAATATATTGAACGGGATAGAGCCAGTATCGCGGGATTAGGATCAGATGTCAGCCCACAATTTCGATCTCAACAGCAAATGAACCATTGAAACGATGCAAAATCTCGAAACGCTTGATAGATCGTCGAGTTATCGCGTGCATCGACCTTTCGTTCCTTTCGATTTCATTTCCTTTCAATTTGTGTTCCTACGCGATTTCGAGACTCGATTAGGAGAGCTAGCTTGCCGTTTTCTAAACGTGGTTGCATTACTTCTGATTTCGCTAGCAATCTTTCCGTACCCTTCGATTGCCATTTTTCTCTGACGAAAAAAAAAGAAAACAAAAACGAAAAAAAAAGAAGAAGAAGAAGAATAAACGGGGGATGTACGTTCGCGAGGAGACAAGGATGCGCTGTTTTTTTATTGACGTAACAGGACGCGTGATTTTCCTTTCTTCGATAGTTGGAGAAACAATATTTAGGCAATAGGGGTGTGCGTGTGTGCATGTTCGCGGCTGAATGATCAAGTTTTTCGTAAACGCGACGTGATCTGAGGAAGGCAGCCGCTCCGAAACTAGAGAATCAGTATTTAAAAAAAAAAAAGTCTATATATGTATATATATATAAATGTAAATGTATATTATTATATTAATATTAATAGCATCGAAGGTAAAAAAGGAGTATACTTCCTCGATTTCGCGGGCAGAGAACGTTAAGTAGAAAAGGAAGACGGGTCGCGAGAAAACGCGAAGCGGACGTGTAATGGAAGGGAAAAGCGGTTACACGCGGAACGAAGGGAAAGACAGATTGCAACGTGTTACTTGTCGCGACATTTCTTGACTGACAAACCGAAAAGACATGCCACTCAAAATGCATATATAAGATTAAAAAATATGACAGTGAAAAGCCAGAAAAAGGAAGATGGGGAATTCGGGACGGGACACGGCTGGGTAGAAGGGTTGGGACAATGAGAAACGAAATAACAAATACTAGAGATTCTTTTTCAAATATTTTTCAGCGATCGTATTGCTGAGATGCATGCAAACGTGTAACGCATTATCATAGTTATCGCATTATAATAGTTATTATATATATACATACATATTGAATATATTGAATGTTGTGCTTAGTATTCTTTCGAAATCCCTTGCGAGGCGACGAGCAAGGGGGTAAAGGGAGAGAGATAAAGAAGAAAAAGCGATTGCTAAACGAGAATCTTAATATATGGTAACGAAGAGTATTTTATATTCGATATTTTATTAACGTCATCGTATTTATCTACATTATTATCATCTTTTTTTTATGATTATTATTATTATGATATTCGATAGTATCTACTATTAAATAGAAACGTGGAATGTTGCCGGTTTGGCCGGCGTGTTAGGACAGTTTGCGAAATCTTTCCTTCGCCAGTGTTTCTGAAACATCTGCCGCAGCCAGGAGATCAGGCATCGAACAATCCGAAGCGCGTGTAAACACTCTGTTCTCGCGGTCTCTGAGTAATTTGTAAATAATTTATATCGTGGTCTCATCCTCGCGCGTCTACCAATGTAGACCGACATTTAGTCGTCCCAATTCTATTCTCTTTTCTCTTCTTCTTCTTATTCGTCATCTTGTGTCTTCCAGTTCTCCGGAAGCTGGAAGTGTTGAGACTGCGAATGGGTACGTTCAGAAAATACCACTCTTCATCTTCTTCTCGATTACCACGCGTTTCACGCGATCTTCTACCTCTTCTCCTGCCTTTTTTTTCCTTTCTTCGAATTGTCCGTGATTCATCTCTGGTTCGCGGGAACACCGGGAAGCGAAAGAGAACTAACGTCAGGGCAAAGAGGATTCGAGTTGTTCGCCACTGTTCGATGGTAACGACGAGTCAGTCTGGGCATTATGATTTTACGATTCGGAACCCGCGACGTTATTTCGGACAGGCTCGCCCGTCGACGGAGAGAAAGAGAGAGTAAAAGGACTAAGAAAGAAAGGTGCTCGGTGGGTAGGAGGAACGGAGCTGTGTCGCGTATTATCGGGCCACGGGAATCGGTCACCCTGCTCCGATGATAGCTATAATTAATCCCGTAACGACGTTAAACGAACCAGCAATAATCAATTTTGTGACTCGGTGCGCCGTGGCCGACGAGCGTGAGCTTGGAATACGCTTCTGTCAGCGTGCGACTCGATCGCGTGCCGCTGATTAGAGCGGACTTACTCCTCCCGTCGTTCGTTTTTTCGACGAATACGCGTCAACACGCTCCGCGTTCTTTGTTCCGCGTCATTTTTCTAAAGGCAGCATAGCAAGCTTCTCGAACTGTCCGAGCGTACGCTCGCCAAATTTTCATATTACCGATAATGGCTTATCATCCGTGATCGTATCGTAAAATCAGCTGCGAAATGGAAATCACATACGACACATGATACCTACACACGGATATATTAACACGTACGTTGTACACTCATATAACACATACGGATCTCACCACAGCACAGAGACAGAAATTCAAGAATATCGTGCGTATACTAATTAACAATCATACGATTACTGATCTATATAATGAATAATCTATGTATAACCGCGTAAGATCGTGTAATAATCAGAGGGCCGAGAGTGATAGGGCACAACGGAGAGAAAGAGATTCATTTAACGAAAGTTATATTTTGAAAGTGTGCAAGAGATCTAGTGGCGAGACAGGAGAACGGAGAGGAAGGATTACTGAATGAAAGGGAACAAGAAAAATTAATCGCGGCAAGAGTGTGGTACGAGTGAGAAATCGTGCGAATGAATGAAACAGAAGAAAATAAAAAAAACGATAGAAAATTGACAAAAAAAAATGAAAAAGAATAATAGAGAAGCTACGAGTTTATTATTTTCTATATTTTTTTATGTAATTTTATGAACATGCGTTAATATATTACTATTATTATTATTATTATTATTATTAATTTTATTATTATTAATATTATTAATATTATGAATATTTTAATATATATCATGATTTTTATATATCGTGTACTTATGTTTTCCTTCCTGTGTTCTTGTCTGGTTGTTTAGATGTTCTGTGTTTGATTGGTTGTTATATCGAAAGATTAACATCATTAAAATATAGACGAAGAAAGAGAAAAGAAATAATTTATATAACGAGGAATAATTAAACGATTTATATATTATTATATATATACATATATATTTCGTATCGAAGAATTTTTCATTAGGTTCTCCCGCGTTGATTCGTTGATGATGATTATATTTTTTATTACATATATCTTTATATCGCAATCAAAGGAAGGATTAAAATATGAAATCAAATACATGCCAGATATAACAACCTGACTGTCCTGTTTTAATTATTAAACATAATATTTTATGATTATTATTAATATATATTATTATGATTATAATTATTACTATTATTATCCCCCCGTAATTATTATTATTATTAAGTTTATTACTATCATCATTAAAAATATATATATATATTATTATTATTACGACAGCATAACAATTATCATTAAAGCCTGCGACTATGAATTATCGATAACGATTATTACTGTTCGCGATAAGAGATACGACCCACTTATCGAAATGCATATTTTATCTCGTAATATATTTTTGTCGAATGATTTTTTATATTTATATAATATATATACATATATATATATATATATAATATATATTATTATTATTATTATTATATTGTGAAAAAGCATTTTTGAGATAATCTTGTATGCCGCGCGAGCTCGTATGACGTCGGATGTTGAGAAAACGAGGGTGCATCGTCGGTGATATCCACATCGGCCGCCAATCCTACTTCCAAATCGTTTATTTTTATACGATGCGAATAAAACTTGTGTTCTCCTGTTCTTTTACTTAGATTCGTGCGGCCAAACGTCGTGCTTTTCCTTTGTACTAGATTCGATCTGCGAACACATTTATTATCCGCGATCTCTTCGGCGGAAGAACGTAGGAGAAAAGGAAAAATGATAAATTCATATTATGGTCTAATGTAAAAATTTTTACGAAACGGTACCAAATATTTTATTAGAAAATGAAAAGAAAGCAAGAAAGAGAGAAATGGAAAAAAATTGAAGCCATGAAATTACACGTACACATACATATACATACTGGAAACGAGTTTAATAAAATGTTACGTGATTTTTATATATCGACTCTTAATTTTTCGGTTTTTTTTTTTTTTTCTTTGTTTTCGTACATTATGTGTTTTCCGAATCGCTTGCAGACACTCTCATATTTCCTTTCTTATTCTCGTCTTATTCTATCCACAGAAAATTATATTTTCGTCTTTGTTAATTTTCAATCAGGGGTATGTTTAAATGACATCGTATAATTTTCTCTTCTTACTGTTGAAAGAATCGAATCGCTGATTAAATTTAATATTCAACTACGTTAATTTTGCTAATGATTAATCATAATGTCACATGGGGTGAGGTTCTTACGATCACGTGTCTAATTTACGTTCGTTGACGTGGTCTTAGGGGTTGCGTGTCTGAATCTAATTAGAAACTCAACCTTCCACTACTTTTTATTTCCTAAATGGAACCTAAAGTCCATCTACGAATCAAACAACCTACACCAAATCGGACTTGTACATTTAATTTATTTCTTTTTATTTTTCTTACCAAGTTTGAATGTCGTTCATTTAACTCTTACCCGTCTGAGAATATTAGAAACAATGGTTGAATTAGAAAAATGAAAAATCGTTAGCTATAACAGTAAAATAGAAAATGTATTGTAACAGTTGCGTTGATCGAAGCGATAAGGGTTAAATAACAATGTTGCGGAGGGTTGAAACAGTTATATAGTCACGTGGTTTTCGCGTCGATCGTCACGGTCCTGGGGGTCGCGTGTCCCCACCGACCAATGACCGAGCACACGGCACAGGAGCGTGCCGGTAAAACCTGTACGTGTTGCCCCGAAAGCGGTTTGGCCGCAAGGGCTGTTGCCCGTTGGGATGGCAACGTCGCATTGCAGCGTTGGGGCTGCGGTCGATGCCGCCGTCCTGGTGGTGGCGGCATGTCAGGGGTTGCGAGGTTGCCGTTCCTTCGACACTATTTCCCTCTCTCTTTCTCTCTCTCTTTCGCTGTGATTTTGCGAAAAACTGTACATCAATTCCACCTTTCTCGAACACGGTGGATCAATCGTAAACCGACGTACAATAATGACACTAAACCGTCGAAATGGAAAGTTATTAATACTCGCATCCCTGGAAGCGGTGTGTTTGACCTCGCCGAGTTGGAAAGTAGGTAGCTTACACTCCGAAACGATGCCAAGGAGACCCCGCCACGTTATTCGTCGCAATCGCAATGCATACGGTTGCAAAGAAAATCGGCAACCGAATCGGTGACAATTTCTCGCTAGCCTTTTCCATTTTTAATCCTTGCTTCTCGTTTCGATTCTCGAGAAAAATCGCGAGAACGAGATAGGGTACTATCGCGGGCGGAGGATCCCCCAGTGGCCACGCCATTGTACCCCGGTACAGGGTTGCCGGTGGGATTGCGGGCGAGACCGCGAAAGATAGATGCAAAAATAGTCTGATTTATAGGGTGATGAGACGAGTCGAACGACTCGGTATAGCAACACTTTTCCGTCGAACGCG